ACAAATATATTGTTTGCACTTGAGACGGAGTTTATATCATCTATCGTATGGAGTGCAACAGGATGCTTAAATATAATATTGAGAACATACAGATATGATGGCGGAGTGCTTCACTGTGATTAGGGCAGAGCAGCTAATAGTGTCAGAAAAGAAGGATCTAGGAAATCCAGAAACTGTTATTATTCATGTAGGTATGAATGACTTGCCAGCAGCAAGAAATCGTTGATTCTGTGGTGGGTGAGGTGTACCTGCTGGTGGCTACAGCAAAGGGTAAATGTCTGAACTGCAGACTTGACCTGAGCGGGGTATTATGACATAGAGATGTGTCATGGCAGCATATTGGAGCTCTCAGTGACAGATTAAACTGGAGAGCAAACACCTTAGGAATTATCTTTGTGGATCAGAATAGCTGGATAGAGGAAAGGGATTTTGGTAGAGATGGGCTGCACCTAAATGGAATAGGGAGGAGTTGACCTGGACAACTGTATGCTATGGTTAGTGCACTGGATAGTGGTGGATCAAAAGGGCGAAGGAGTGACTGGTGGATGAAATTTGCAGAACTAGGCAACTAGGAAATAGCAGCATTCACCAATCAAAGAAAAGACGACTTTACACGAAATGGGGATTAAGGAAGAGTAACTTGGTTAGTGGGAAAACTGAAGCTAGAACACGGTTTTATGCTGTATCTGCAGAACCTGCATAAAGGGGTAAAGGTACTTGTGCTGCAGGTTAACTGTAGGAGTATTTATAACGAAGTTTTAAAATTCTGGAATTTAGTGCACATGTACAATTCAGATGTTATTATAGGCATGGAATCACGGCTAAAAGACGATATTAGCAGTGCTAAGGTCTTCAGAGCTGACTTTACAAACTTCCGACGAGGTAGGTATGATCGTGGTGGCGGAACTTTTGTGCCATATTCCTATCGTGGTGTATGGGGGGTTAATTTAAGCTGTATAATTTTATATATTTTTTGCCTTAGACTGGTTTGGCATAACACCGCTTTCAATTAAGTGAAAATTTCTTTTATACGGCCCATCATGCAGTAAATTTCTAAGGAGCACCGAAAACTTCTCCCAGGTTTTACTAATCCAACGGAACTAGCACGATACACTAAGTACCTATCACCTCTGACCACTAATATGGCGGATACCGGAAAAATATTCTTTTGTTTGTTGGTATTTTCGCGCTAAAACATCCAAACTTTTGGTTCATGTTTTTTAATGGTAACTATAGACGTGTTTTTGCAAGTAAACGAAGATGAGAAATGGATGATATCGAAACAGTAATCAGCGGTCTCTCAGATGGAGTAGAGATACTCCAAAAAAGTCTTCAATGCGCTATATGGTGCGTAATATGAGAAGGTATTTTAATTTAAAGTGCATCATGCGTGGTATAAATGTGTATGGTAATGATTCAGTTCTGGAGGTTGAGTGCTATTTCGTGTTTTCTTTTGGGTTACGGATTTGGCTCAGAATTTCTGCAACAGATTCAAGTTCTGCAATATTTCTGCTGGTGTACTAATGTTCCAATACGGTTACTAATTTTATTTTGTGTATTTTAGTAAATTACCGGACGTTTTTAATAGTCATGGTCACTCTGGTTTTAACAGTGTTTACTATCATGATTCTCCTAATATTAGGCTTAGTTTTGGAATACAGAATCTTTTCATCTTCTTTACAGGTCTTCCTAAATATTGTTTTCAAAGTTATAGGCCTTTGTAAGCACTTTTGCACATATTTTTAAACATTTATTCTGTGATCCATTCAGAATCCATTCAAACCTAAATTGACCCATCTTGGAAATACTTCTAGTGTCAGAATCAGATGAACAGTTCTTAGTATAATCCTGGCATATAAAAGCTATGCTGGTATGCACCCACTTGTTATATATGATATCTATGCTGGTGCCTGAACCTAGGCTAATGTTTTAGTCCCAGCCATTAATTTAAATTTGATTACCATAAATATTGTGCAGGGTGTAGTATTGCAATGGCTTAAATCTTACCTCCAATACAGGAGGCAAAGAATGGAATTAAATTATATAAATAATAAATATTATTCTAACTGGGAAATTGTTGGATGTGGTGTGCCTCAGGGATCAATGTTGGGGCCCTTACTCCTCAATATATACATAAACGATTTCCCCCTTGAAATAAGTAAGATTTCGGAAGTTATTATGTTTGCAGATGACACAAGTATTCTTTGCACAGCTAAGGACTACTATAATTTAAAAATAAAATTGGATGTTGTTTTAATCACATGTTTATGTGGTTTCAAAATAATAAATTAGTGTTAAATCTGGATAAAACAAAAATGATAAAATTCACCCCAACAGCAGCTGCAAGCTACCCTCTATATANATGTTGGGGCCCTTACTCCTCAATATATACATAAACGATTTCCCCCTTGAAATAAGTAAGATTTCGGAAGTTATTATGTTTGCAGATGACACAAGTATTCTTTGCACAGCTAAGGACTACTATAATTTAAAAATAAAATTGGATGTTGTTTTAATCACATGTTTATGTGGTTTCAAAATAATAAATTAGTGTTAAATCTGGATAAAACAAAAATGATAAAATTCACCCCAACAGCAGCTACGAGCTAGCCTCTATATACATTGTTTTTTAACAAAAAGCTGAAAGAAGTAGAAATGATAGCATTTCTCGGTTTGCAGCTAGACAATCATCGGACTTGTAAGGGACATACCGATTTTTTGCTTCACAAGTTGAGCACAGTTGGTTTTCTAATGCAAAAATTATCCTATATATTAAATATAAATAGTCTTAAAGCTGTATATTATGCATATTATCATTCATTGGTGAAATATGGAATAATATACTGGGGAACTACATCAGACAGCCATAAGGTCTTTGTTATACAAAAGAAAATAATACGAATAATGATGGGAGTGGGCCCAACTCACACATGTAGAGATCTGTTTAAAAAGCTTGACATACTACCAATCCCATGTGTATATTTGCTTTCATTGATGATATTTGTTAATAATTTGGATAAGTTTCAAACCAGTAACTCTGTATATGTGATTGGTACCAGAAGGAATGGCGACCTTCACATACCTTCAACACATTTATCATCCTATCAGAGAGGAGTGTATTATTCTGGCGTCAAGCTATTTAACACTGCTGTCAAATATCACAGTTTTAAAAAATGATAAAAAGGAATTTAGGTTTGTTTTACGAAATTATTTTCAAAGTAACATATTTTACTCTATTGAAGAATTTGTTGAGTATACAGAGGGCTCAAAAGTTAGGAGTTAATAAATGGTCTGTGTGCATGAATTATATTTTGTTGAGACTTGCTTGTTGTAAGTGTAGTAGTATGTATGTCTGATGTCTGTTTTTGTTATGAATTTTAATATTTTATAATGTAACTGTTTTAATGATGCAGCTTGCCAGTGTGTGTGGAATGGAATAACAAGGCATGAATTTGACAGTGGTTTTTCCATGACCCATGTGTGTTGTCCTGACATCTTGAGCTATCTCTGAGAGGCTTGATTATATATTTTATTGGACAAATGATGAATGATTTGTAGTCATCATGAATTTGTAATATGTGACATGTTTTATATCCAGCCCTACGGGGAGCTGATTGAATCCATGAAGTGAAAATAAATGTAAATGTAATTGTAGCTAGGAGAGTGTAGTCGGTATAGCAACTGGCTACGGGCTGGATGACCGAGGGGTCGGAATTCGAGTCCCAGTAGGGTCAAGAATTTTCTCCTCTCCACAGCGTCTAGACCAGCTCTTGGTCCACCCAACCTCCTATCCAGTGGGTACCGGGGTCTCTTTCCATGGGGGTAAAGTGGCCGGGGCATGAAGTTGGCCACTCACCTCCAGCTAGTGCCAACGTCAAGAAAATTTGGAAATATGCATTGCACTCTCCCATATGCATTTGTGACGTAGTACTTAATTAGTTAAGCACAAAGACAACTTTACCTTACCTTTTACCATTAATATCAGCAGTACAGGAGTGCTGGCTTACTTTTCTTGACTAAAGAAAACACAACTAGTCGGCTTTGATATTTCAATTGTGTGGAGTAAGTGGAAGATTCTTTAAGTCTGTTTCTGTATTAGTATTCACATATGTGAAAGTACACAAAATCTGAAATTATAACTGGAAAATACAACTTCGCAAGCATGTGATTGATTTTTTTAATGCCTAATGAACGTGTGTTACATTTCCCACATTTGTGTTTCCAGCCTAGAGCTGCTGAAGAATCCAGTATGTACAAGGTGCTCCCATTCTTTTTGCCGGGAGTGTGTAATGACAATTATAAATACAAAAAGAAATGCCCATTGTCCTTTGTGCAACAAGTCAATTAACAGAAGAAGCATTATAGAGAATGAGAAGATTGGAAAACTAGTGGGAAAGGTCCAAAGTCTGATCGATAGCATTGGAAGGGACACTGGATTTGATAGTAAGTATGAACCTTGTTTTTAATTTTATTGTTTTTGATGTCAGTATCGAGACAATATAGTATTGATGACAGGATGATTAATGAATGCAAAGCAGTTGGTAGAATGAGAATTGGTGGGGGAAACCAAAATACCTGGAAAATACCAAAATACCCTTCAGAGTGTCACTGCCCATCACAAATCCCATGTGACCTGACCTGGGATCAAAGCCATATTGCTGTGGTCAGAAGTAGGAACTTGTTTTTACCAGATTTCCTTTTGTATGAACAGATAAGCTTATGGTATTGTCATGACCATCCCCATTCATATGTCTCTCCTTGCATGAACTCTTAAATAAATAATGAATTTTTGTGAAAAACATATATAAAATGTATGAGCACAGGGTAGGTATTAAGTGTAATTAAGCATAATTTTTCAACAGTTAGTTGAAGTATCTTTGCATGAGGAACTTTCCTAACTATATTTTGATTTACTAGGCAGCGTTTTTATGTAATTTTCATGGCTGCTTTTTGTTTCACTAGATTCTGTGTCATTCTATAGCTATTTTTATGTCATGTGTTTTTTTTTTCACAAAATTCCCATGGGCTACAAAATCTGATCATGTTTATAGAGATCATGAAACTGACATTTCCATAATTAATTGAAGTGTAAGTCAACACTTATTCTTATTTTATCTCTAAATAGATATATTTGGAAAACAGGATACTTGTGTACTGTTGACACTAGTACTGTGGTGGCAGTGGAGACTTAAAGATGGGCAGAGTAAAAATCTGAAATTCTGAATGGTGATAGGTTTTTGGAAAAATATATAACTTTCATTAAAGTTAAAATAAATCTCAGAATTTCTGGGTTTATGGACTTTGTCCATTGTTTGGTATTCTGAAAACTAAAGAACACAACATTTAAGAAAAAATATGGATCCAGTTTCTGAAACATTCTGTTCTCTAGTTTTTAGAATACTGGTTGATGGACAGATTCCAGAAACTCAGTGAATCTGAGTGTTGTACATAAGCATCTGAACCCTTTAGAATCCACTTAAAATAAATGTTTACTTTTCCATGTGAAAGCTATAATTGATGAACTGCTATAATGAAGCATGTGAAACTCCTTTTGGTAATATACTTCTCATATGNGGATTCATTTTCTGAAACATTCTGTTCTCTAGTTTTTAGAATACTGGTTGATGGACAGATTCCAGAAACTCAGTGAATCTGAGTGTTGTACATAAGCATCTGAACCCTTTAGAATCCACTTAAAATAAATGTTTACTTTTCCATGTGAAAGCTATAATTGATGAACTGCTATAATGAAGCATGTGAAACTCCTTTTGGTAATATACTTCTCATATGTAGTAACACTAAAAAAAATCATTAAATTTTACTTGTGTGTGCTTATCTGTCAAATGATTAAGTCAAGGAGGATGCAATGGGTAGGGAATGTAGCATGCATGGGGAGAGGAGACATGCATACAGGGGTTTGATGGGAAAGCCACAAGGAAAGAACCAGTAAGAAGACCTAAACGTAGGTGGGAAAGTAATACTAAGGTGGATCTTAGAGAATAGGATGGCATGGTATGGACTGGATTCATGTGACTCAGGATAGGGACAAGCAACAGACTTTCATGAACACAGTATTGAACTTTCAGTTTCCATAAAATGTGAAATTCTTGAGTAGCTGAGCTACTGGTAGCTCTTGAAGAAGCACTTAGCTGCATGGAGTTTGCTTAGAGCTTGCCTGTCATCATGCAGGGTTTTACTTTCTGCACACCACTTTCATTATCACTGTAATATGCTTCTGTTGGTGGCCATATCACTGCTGAAGGCCTTTCCTGAGACCTCTGTAACCTTTAAGAGCCTAGCGACACCGTATGGATATGTGCAGTCCACGCATGCACACAGTGTTTTAAAATCTAATTTTAAGATAGAAATTGTTGTTCTACTTACATTATTTTTGGGCACCAGCTTTATAAGTAGACAGTCTTCCCTCCTGCATCATCTAACTGAATGTTGCCTTCGTGTGGTACTGTTGGAAACATCTGGAAATGCAGAGTCTGATGTCGCACTTCGTGCACTTTGTCCAGATGTAACTCCGTTTCCCACATGAAGAGCACACACGACACCTCAGTCTCTTATTAGAGGAAGTCGGCCAGTGATGTTGAGTGGCCTCCTCTAATCGAGATATCGCCGATGACACAGCAGGAGGTTGACCCATGAACCGTTGAGGGCGAGGTGTACCCCTTGCAGCATGTTCCAGCATGTTGCGTGCAAGGGCTAGTCAAAATTCTCTGTGTGACAATTTCGCGCCACAGGATGACAACGGGATGAAACTGTTCAGAATCGCCAGATCCAGGAGATGGAAAAATAGTTTATTTGTCCATTTCCAGGTCCGACGACTGATGCTATAACTGTTTGCCATTCTGTCCTCTTTGTCGACATAACCCATGTGCGTGTTGTAGTCAACAACAATTGCTGGCATGATGGCATTTCCATGCTCATCACAGAACTGCCTTCTGCTGGGGGACAGTGCATGTTTGTCAGTATGTAAACGTCATGTTTGTCCTTCCAAACTAGTGCTGTCAAGTTCTGTCTCACCCTAACACGGATGTCACCTTTCTTCAGTCGAAATTGTCTTCGTCAAAAATCATCAGGAAAGCCCTTCCGATTAGGTCTGACTGTCCCACAGCACGTTATGTTCTTTGTCATCAGTTTGTCAGACAAGTCTGGTGACAAAAAGAAATTTTCTGTGTACAGTTTGTGACCTACGCCCTCAATACGTCTGCATAGGTCCCTAACTGTCACGTCTTGGTCGGCATGTGTCCTGTCTTTTCCTAGGTAAACCTTCATGTCATAAGTACAAGGTGTGGCAATAAAGAAACCGGATTCATGCTCTAACCCTTTATTAAAAAAAAATCAGACAGTCGAAATGTTATCCCCTTCAATGTAGTCCCCTCCCCGATCCCTACACCGCTCCATGCGAATTTTCCACTGTTGGAAGCAGTGCTGCAGGTCATCTTGTGTTATGCTCTTCAAGAGTTGCGTCGCTTTTGCTTTCACTGCATCCACGGACTCGAACCTGGTCCCTTTCAGCGCAGACTTGATTTTTGGGAAGAGAAAAANTTCTTTATTGCCACACCTTGTATACCCAGCGGCATCACAAATTTTGAAGATTTTTATTCCAACACGTTTGTGTTTCTTAGGAATGTACTGCCTAAAAACCACCCTCCCTTTGAATTTAACAATTATCTCGTCCATGGCCAAATGTTCAGAAGGGTTATAATATTTTTTATATGCGTCATTGAGTGTGTCGAAGATGGTCTAAATTCTCCATGGTCAGTCATAACTGTCGGCATTCCTGTCAGTTTCTGTATTGTTGTCTGCAAAATGAAGAAAACGAAGAATGTGTAGAAAACAGTCACGTTTCATTGTGTTCGAGTAGAAAGGCGTGGCAAATTGTTCTACAGTCTGTCTCTAATGTCATGTCCCATTTGAATGATTATTCCTCGAAACAGAAACATCTCGGAATCGGTCACGTCAGGCCACGGAGAAGGTCCGTCTTGAAGTCTGTCTAGGTACTGGCGGTAGTACCTGTTTGTCTCTTCCACCAGCAGACAGATAATCCATGCAAAGTAGAGCATGAAAATGCAGAAAGGGGTGGAATCCTTATTTACGTGTGGAGCTTCATTGATATTTAACCCCACAGCTCCACCGGAATAATTATTCACACCCCTCCTGCCATGCTGGTCTGGTGGTCCCCAGGTTGCCGACTAAGATGATGGGTCTTCGTCGACTTCGGTTTCTGAGCCCCTTGCTTCCTCGCCCCACTCAGATTTGTCTGTACCGCAGTCTGAATCTGTGTCATTTATCGGCTGCTTCTCAATTTTGGCTGCGAAATGAGGCCATGGTGGATAGTTGAAATTGTGACATTTTATACACAACGTGCTAGGCTTGAACATTCTGGCAGTGTGGGGCTATTCCAAGAACAGTACCTCTGTGTGACACTGAGGTCAAAAGGACTGGAAGTTTTAGTGACCACATGGATAAGAGAAGAGGTGATAATTTTTTTATGTGAATATGAAAAGAGGAGATGAAGTTTATAGTGTCTACTCTTTATGTCTGCATGGGTTATGTTCAGTGGTTATGTGATGAAGATGGAGTCGTAGGTTTGGAGGGAAAGAAGTGAAGCCAGTCTGTGCCCATCTTCAGTCTGAAGTTGTGGATATGTTCTCTTATTTTAATGGTTTCCTTGATGATGCAGGAATGGCAGATGTGGATATTGGCTATGATGTCTGTTCTGTTGAAGTCAGTGCTATGATTTGCCTCTCTGGAGTGTTCGCTACTGCTGATCTCTGGTTCTCCAGTCTGGTGTCTCTGATATGATTTGAAATCCTGGTAGATGTGTGATGGCCCATTTGTCTGATGTAGACCTTGCCATGACAGCATGATATTTTAGTTGAGGGGTGTCTGCCCTTGATGCATCTGAAGCAGAATGCCATTTTGTTAAGTAGTTCGTGGAGTGTATGAAGGGCTGCAGACAAAACTTGGTATCACTTTGCTGGAATAGAGGTCATAGCCGACATCCAGACCTACTATCTCCACATTATCAGGTGAATCATCAAAATAAGACCCACAGCTTCAACAATGAAGATGGATACAGACTTGGCTTCACCTCTTTCCCTTCAAAATTACTACTCAGCCACCTGCTCTGAAAAATCACAGAATATAACCTGTGCAGACTTACATACTGGGTAGGCACTATAAATTTTTTTCATTGCCTCCTTTCCTAATCCCCTAGAAGAGGGGGAGACATGGGGTGGGGGGGAGAGATATAAGAAACAGAAGAGGAAATTACCTTTTCCCTTATTCACATGGACATTAAAAATTTCTTCAGCACTTCTGTTCCTGATCACATAGTAGCTAAAACATACCTTTTACCTGAACACAGAGCTGTTGATTTTGCATCACCTCTTTTCAGGACCACCTGGTTGCCAAAGCATTTTTGTCACCTTCCATTAATCACTTGGTTACTGAAACATTTTCATGTCCTCTTTTCACTAACTATATGGTCGTTCCTTATTGAATAACACCCCACTTTGTGTCTTCCAATCAAAGTTTCACCTCTGACTTGCTGCTAAGATCTACATAAGAGCTTCTAAAACCCCCAGAGAGATATTAATCCTGAAGATGGCAACTGGGATGTGATGGAAAATTTCAGTGTTCTACACTGTGATTCCCAGAAGCCAAAGCCATACAAAGAACACTTAATTGTGTAATTATTAATGTATTGTCATGTGTTAGTGGCTAGACATGAGGTTTGGATTTATTGAACACACATAAATTGTAACTATAAATAATTATAATGCTGTCACTAATTTGCACACTCTACTTCTCACTGCAGCACATGCTAAGTCTTCTGTGTCTTTACTAGCCATTGCCAGGTTACAGCTTCCAGCAGTGGAGCTTTTTCTGCTGGCTTACAACTGGTCTTCAACTTTCAACAAAGTTAAAGTCACATTGCAACTGATGGTCAGCCAGTCAGTCAGTAAGTCTTGGTGTCGAGTATTTTTTACTGTTTGGCAGTTATGGTCTTGTTTTTGCGTGGCCCCTTCTCTGACATGAGGACGGCTTTGTCTTTTGTATCTGCTGGCCCTTCCCAGTGCAGTCTTTCTCGGGTCCGAGTCCCTTGGAACTTGCGGCCATATTTTACTGTCTCACACTTGAGACTTCTCTTTTCATTGCCTCCTACAACTCTCAGGGTCACGATGGGGGTATTTGACCCCACCTCCACACAGAGTTCAACTTATATAATCTTGGCACAGACCACATAGAGAACACTGCTTCCAAGAATTCCTCCGTTGTTGATTATTTATTTATTTGTGTGAAAATGTGTTAATTGACTCATTACGGAGCAATGACCTCTTCATCAGCCATTATGTCAATATAAATTCGGCTGACTTCTTATGGATGAAAGTAGGCACCATAAATTTCTTACTATATTTTGTATGCTGAGAGCAAGCATGAAATGAAATGTTTTGTATGTATAATGAATGTCTTCTTGCTGTTGCCCTCATCAGAGGTGGGGAATTTATTGAGAAGTTGAGTAGCTACTGGCTTCTCATGAAGGACTCTGCTGCATTCAGTTTGTTATTGCTGAAAATGTTTTCATACTCCTAAATTTAGAATAATCTTAATTGATTAAAATCCATCTTATATTACAGTTATGCTAAATGTATCATAAAATGGCTGAACCCAGGATTTTCATCCTGTTTTTGGAGAATGGTCTCGAACATAAATCTATTAAGTTCATGAGAACAGAAAGTGAATGTGTGTACGAAATATAAAAAAGAAAAATACATCTAAAGGTAAAAGGTAAAGTTGTGTCCTAGCTTAATTAAGCGTGACATCAAGAAGGTATATGAAGGCCTGGTTCCATGCATTCTTAACCTTGGCACTAGTAGGGATAAGTTGTCACTTCATTCCCAGGTTGCTTTGGTTCTTGGGGAAAAACTCCCAATATCCACTGGATAGGAAACTGGTCTAGACTTGTTGGAATAGAGAGAAATCTGTGCCCCTTCCCCAAGTCTGACACTGGTCATCCAACCCATAGGCCGTCACTGTACTTACTGAGCTATACCACATGCATGGGCAATTGGGCAGTTACTAAATGCTGAATGTTTTTCAAGTATTGGCTTTTATTTTTGGGTATCGTGGCTTGTTGCAATGTTCAAGTTGTTTTTGGTGATTTTTAATTTTGTTTAAGGTATAATGTTCCCATCTTGTTCTTAATTTCAGTTACATCACATAGGAAGCTACCTTCTTCAACATGTGAAGCAGTCATTGCTTCTCCAAAATTTCACCAGAAACCCCAAGAAATACTTAGAACACAGTATGAAGCGTCATCTCAGAAGGTTACCAACCCTACAGTAACTACTTCTAAAGAACACTGGTTGAGAAGGTATAAACATTCATACCCAGGAAAACGTGACAGCAGGGATGATAATGTAGACTTTTTATCTGTCAGTCAGGCTGAACCTCCAAGTTTCATAGCTAGAGACATAGCATTACTTGCGGAGGAGAGTAAAGTTGACAAGCTGAATGTTCCACCCATGGAGAAGGTTCAGCAGTGGTTGCAGAAGAATGGAGATGAGTTTCATAAGGACACAGTAGAGCCTTCTGAATCAAATAATGTTACAATTACTGCTGATGTTCATAGAGGTATGGAAGATGAGATAGATCTAGTATCTGTCTCACAACGACAGTTTTACGTAGCCCCAAGGAAAGCAGATGTGGCAGCATTTCAGAGCCCTTTGGCTAGTTCACATGACAATGTGAAGCAAGCTTCCAGTGAGAAGAGAATATTTACTTCCAGGATTGACAATGGAAATAATAGAAAATTATGTGAAAGAGTCAGAGAGGGTCAGAGTGCTGAAGGTGATCCATACACATTTGTTAGTAGTCAGAAAATAAGAACAGTGCCCAAAAAGAAAGTGAAAGGTAAAGTGGCAGTTAAGGAAAGAGAAAGTAAACATTTTCAAACATGTGGTCCGTCTTTTGAGAAGGGCAATAATACAAGTACTGGCGGAAAGAATAAAGCTACTTGTAACAGTCCTCCTGTATTTGATATTACATTCATATGCCCTGTTGACATCAATGATACATTTGATAACCTTGTAGCTGATACTTGCAAATCTGAACCAGCAAAAACTGTGGAAGCAATAGCTAGAAAGGTAGCTACTGGTGATGACAGCAGTGATGATGATGTATGTCTATTCAGAACACCATTAGATGTTCCATTAATGTACAAGAATAATGATGGAAGCACTACAGAATCTATGAGTGACATAGATTTTTCTTCTGGCAGTGATGAAGAGTGGGGAGTAACCAACCAAGTGAATCAAGAACTTACACAAGTGAGTAGGAGAAAAACTAGGGGCAACAGTTGTGGTAATCTTCCTACTAAAGTAAGAGAGACCAAGAGTAGCTGTGGACAGAAAAGCAGATCAAAATCTAGCGGAATTTGCCCTAGGAGGAATGGAAAGTTGGAGGCTTTTGGTTTTGGTTTCAAAGAGGTCAGTAAACATAATTTGCAGAATGAGGATCATGTAAAGAATCCACCTCTTAGTCCAGCTAAGAAATTAAATCTTACCACAAATATTGTAGATTTGGGTACTGATAATATGAAGCAAGGACCTTCTATTTATAAAGACACAAACAATAAATCAAAGGATGAATATGTTACATGTTTGTCATCAGATAAGGCACCCACTGGTAAGGAAAATGTTATTTGTCCAGTAGCTAATGACTTTGTTGATGAGAAAATAAATTTAGATCACCCAGCTGTGAACACAACTATTTGTTCATGGTCACCAGGCTGGTCTCGCATTTCACAATCAAAAAAGGATTTTGAGAGGTTTAAAAAACCAGAACTTAAAGCACTGAATGTGAGCGGAGGTGAAGTATGTATACCAAAGAGGCATTCAGCATCAGTAAGTGAAATACCTAAGAAACCAGATATTACCAGTGAAGTAATATCACCGGTTCCAACAATTGAGGATTCAGACAGTTTTGTTGGCATTCCTGTGATAGCATTTAACAGTCCTGAAGCAATGAACAGGGTTAAGATGATGTCAAAAATAGTTGCGAATCTAGAATCCCAAATTGGATGTGATTCTTCTACTGAAAATGTAGCTGAAGTGTCTACAGAAACAATTATACCTCAAACTGTGAAAGATGTGACTGTAAAGAAATTTAGAAGTTTTGGTTCTGATGCTTTTAGTGAATCAGTAGGGACACAGGACAGTCCCAAATCTTGCCAGAGGAAGAAACTGATCGGTATGATTGTCTCCTCTTTAGAAGCTGATGATCAGCTGGAGCATCAGTGTATTGGAGGTGATGAGCAGATCATGTCTGGCATTACAAAGCTAGATGGAGATGACAAAGATGCTCAGGATAGTTACAACAAAGATAATGACAAGATGAAGAATTCAGTGGTTTGCAGTAAGGAAAATATATTAACAGTCCAAGAATCTGAAAGCACCCTGGCTTACGAAGAAGATACAGAAAATGATGAACATAATCAGGGTAGTCACAGCAAAGATAATTATTGCAGCCTGAAGAATCTGGTGGTTGACATGAATAAAGAGAATGTATTAACAGTCCACAATCATAACAGCAACATGGCTTGTGAAGAAACTGTTAAAAACATTGAACATAATCAGGATAGCCATATCAGAGATCATGATAATATGAAGAATCCAGTGACTGACATGAGTATGGGGAATGTATTAATGGTTCAAGAGTCTGAGAGCTCTGCAGCAAATGAAGAAACTTTAGAAAATATGGAACAGACTCATATGATGGGTCAGATTATCAAAGTAAGTAGAGAAGATTGCATCAAAATCAGTAGATCTACTGAACCTTTAACAGAACCTGCAGATATGTCATCAAAGGATCTGAATAACCAGACTGAAGTATCATTTGAAACAGGACAGAATGGTAGTCTTGATTCAAAGCAGTTAATTATTCATCAAGGGAAGGGAGAGTGCAAGGCAGTAAATCCTTTACTAGCAGCAAGCAAACAACACCTGCAGGATTTTGTATTGTCAAAGAAATGTGATCAAAAGAAGGTGTCAGTAATGTCATCAGATGTAGGAGTTAATTTTACAGAAGTACCCAAGAACTCACACTGCGAAACATATTCAACCAAGGGTACATTTACAGGCGTTCAGCCTCAGGTAATGAACACAGAGCCCATGGAAATAAAAACAAAAAACTGTCATCAGACAGACATTCAGTCACAACATAATAGTTCAATTGATCTTGTGAATAACCACCCAAATGAAATCCACATTCCTTTCATAAAATATGGAAGACTAAAATCTTTAAGAAATTTCACAAAGTTTGTGCTTCTTGGTTCGTTAGCGCCAAGAAGAAAGAATGCGTTTTCAGAAACATTTCAAGCATGTAGTTCAGTTGATAGCATAGGAGTGCAGTCTGGTGCAACAGGAAGATCATCATCAGGGATTTGCTATGAAACTGGAACACAGACTAGTCCACAGTTTCTTAATCCTTGTCACAGCTCAGATGTAACTGATGCCAAAATTCAGATCACTCCTAGAGAGAATCCAAAGTTTGTCCAGCTTACTACTCCCACAAGAACAGATACTCAAGAAGATGGTGAAAATTTTGTTCCTGATAGTTGTGACAGCACATATTCTTTTCCATGTGCTATTCCATTATGTCATCCTTCAACCATACAGAAAACTCCAGTAGATTCAAGCAAATACGCTAAACCTGAACACTGTTTAAAAACGTGTGGAATAAGTGAACCCCTCAGTGTTGACAGAATGCTTGCAGTCAGTGACGTGAAAGATCACGTCGCAGAGGATGATGTTGGTATGGATAGAACTTTAGTGTTCAGGAATCATGGTAGGTACAGTGAGCCAGCTTATAAAGTGGATCATGAAATATCTAGTTCTCAGTTCAGCACAGCAACAACTATTAAAATTCAGCATGTTAGGACATCAGGTAATGGAAGTCAGGTCCCAGAGAAGTCTCCAGAATTATCTTCAAATTTGGCAAAACACTCTGGTCTGAGTATATCCATTGTACAGGAATCGAATAATGGAAAAATACTTGATAGTATTGAAGATCTGTATGATACTGATACCAATCAGGAAGCAGTATCTGATGTTCAAGATCATCAAGATAGTAATCCAAATAATGAGGAAAGAAATACAGACTCACACCAAAAAACTGAAGTGATTGAATCAAAGAGAGATGGTTCTACAGAGCACCTTATACAAGACCTAAATTCTAAACCAAGCAGATATAAGCCAATTGACTGCAGTAATACTTACGAAGAGAAGAGCAGGAAGAAATCAAGAAAAGTAAGCAGACAACTTAAATTTTCTCCAAATGATATTCCGAAGCTGTCAAATCCATGTCTGGATGTAAATATAGAAGACAGGGAAGGAGATGTTGAGAAATTACACAAGAAATCAAATAAGAGAATCCGAGAGGCGGCCATCTCTTTAGATCTTGCACCTGATGATAGGGAATTGAGTGACATGTTAGATTTAGAGCCCAGGGAAATGAAGAAGCCATGTCACACATCACTTAGTAAAGCCTTAGGAGAAGGCAAAGATAATGATGTGCTCCCAGATAATGAATATGCTGACACCTCCACAGATGTTATTAACCTCCTGACACCACCTGAAGAAGCTAATGTCAGTCTGACTCCTCAGGTTGATGACAAGTGGTTGGGAGAAGATGTGCCTAATTCAGAAGAACTAATGGCGAGGTTAATGGCAAATATTGAAGCTGATCTGGTAGAAACAAGGAAGCGCAAGATGAAAGGGGGCAATGACAGTGATAAGGAAAGGGGGAAAGAGTCACCTACAATATTTACACCACCACCAGTTATTGCTGACTCAGAACCAGGCAGCAGGATGACATGTGAGCTGGTGGTGAGTAAATCAGGAGCAGAGCCTAGAAGGAGGCGTGTGAAGGAGAGTTTCTTAGGCAATACAACAATTGACACTGACAGTGAAAGCCTTTGTACACAGCAAAGGAATAAAATCCAGGTAGGTACTTCTGCAATTCTTATAGTCTCTAAAGTTTGTCTTGAGGAAATAATGAATGAATTATAAAGTGAAATATTAATAATATCAGTGAAGTTGACAAAATATTATATCTTAGCATCATATTGTGTGTGACATAATGTTATTTTTCCATCACCACAGTGTTTCTGTATGTGTCATGTATTTGCTGCTATATGTTTTTCAATTCATTGTTAAGTTTTGTTATCAGTAAATTTCATATTACTGCATGGCATGATAAAATTAATTACATTCTGAATGGGATAAATAGTAGTCCTGTAAATGTTCTTAGTCAATTGAGGGATAGGTTTATGGTACTTGTTGATGGGTCAAATACTGAAAATAAGTATCTTATCATTTTCAGTATATTTGCCATTGTCAGGTACATACAACAACAACAACAACAACAAAGTTGTGCCTGATCAACAAAAAAACACATAATATTTAATACATAACATATAACATAACTGTACAAGCAGTGTGATGGCAGAACAATAATAGAAATTGACAGAAGTTTTAAGGTAATATATTTTTTGTTTCCTGTCCAGCTTTATCCATTGGGAATTAATAAAAAGGAGAGGAACATAAAGCGAAAAGCACAATAGATCACCGTAGGTCACAGTGCAAGGCTGAGAAGGCCCACCCCTTATACATTCATTCATTCATTCAACATAAAGCGAACAGATCCTCTAGGTTGTAACACCACATAGTTTGGAGAAAACTTGACTTAACTGAGCTCAGCTTGCTGCCTGCTTATGCTAGTGTCTTTCTTGGCTTACTCTTTGACCCTGAAAATAAAAACAGTGTGATAATCTGAATCATCAAATTCTGTGAACTACACAGTATTAGAAACCAGACGACTACATTCTTCATAGTCACTGCTGTGAGAACCTAAGATTCAGGAGGAAAATAAACCAGAAACAAAAATAAATTCCATCATCCCAGAACACACCATCATCATCTTCATTGGCAAAACAGTCCTTTCTGAGGCATAGTCTTTCTCAGAAGATTCTGCCAGATTTATCTATTCATGGCTGTGTTTTTCCACTTTCTTTCCCCAGTAACTTTAACACCATTGTCCACTACATCTTCCCATTTCAATTCAAGCCTTTATTTTCTTCCACCTTTTGGTTTTGCATTAAGAATACTTTTCATAGGTCATAGCATGTTCATTTGAACAACATGACCAGCCCATTTCAACCTACCCACTTTCATAAGGGTTATAATATCCATGTTCTCATACAAAGCACATGGTTCATAACTGTACCTGATTCTCCATTCATTGTTTCCTTTGATTGGGCCATATATGGACCTTGAAACTTTTCTCTCAAAGATAGGCTGATTGATGTCTTATATAATATGATTTTACTTTTCCATGAAAATATGTGTGATTTTAATTGGTTCTTTAATCCATAAAAATATATATTAACTGCCAAAATTTATGTAGGTCGTACCGAAAGTTATGAGCAACTTTTTTTCGCATGCACCCTGGGAACAGCAGATGAAAGAGAGTACGGTGGTAGTTGGAACCAGCTGCTGTGTTAACCTTGAGTGTCTTGTGACGTCAATAGCTTGCATCACATGACCAGTATCCCTCCTAACAAAATGGCTGACAACGATATGTCATTTCGCCAGCGTGCTGTCATTGAATTTCTTGTGAAAGAGTAAATCCCTGCTGCAGAAATTCACGAGAGACTTCAGCGTGCTTATGGAAGTGTGTGCATGGGTGCGAGCAGTGTTCGAAGATGGGTGAAACATTTTAAAGATGGGAACACCAGCATCGAAGATGAGCCTCAGAGTGATCGTCCTCGAACAGCCTCAACTGAACGTAAGGAAAGAGTGGATGAGATCATTGAAGATGGCAGGCATATGACTGTGGACACAATAGCCCAAAAACTTGGAATAGGGCACAGTGCAGTACAGGAGATGATTGAAAGCTTGGGCTATAGGAAAGTTTGTGCTCGTTGGGTCCCGCGGTTATTGACCAAAGATGACAAAGGTCAGCGAAAAGCCATCACCTCAGAACTGCTGCAGAGATATCGACACGAAGGCAATGATTTTTTGCTCTGTATTGTGACAGGTGACGAAAGCTGGTTTCACCATTTCGAGCCTGAAACGAAACGGCAGAGTATGGAATGGCACCATTTGCATTCTCCATCAAAAAAGAAGGCAAAGACAGTGCCATCAGCTGTGAAAGTGATGGGCACAGTCTTCTGGGATGCAGAGTGGTTTATTTATTCTGGTTGAATTCCTGGAACCTGGGCAAACCATTAATGCTGCTCGTTATGTCCAGACGCTGCACAAGCTCCGTTGTGCATTGCGCGATAAAGGTCCAGGACGAAACATCATCCTGCATGACAACGCTCGCCCCCATGCCACTTGCCTCACATTGGAAGCAATTGCAAAGATGGGGTGGGAAGTTCTTCCACACCCCTCCTATAGCCCTGATCTGGCGCCCTCCGACTACCATCTTTTTGGATTTGTGAAGGATCAGCTGCGTGGACAATGTTTTGAGACAATGGAGGCAATTCAGAAAGCAGTGCATCAGTGTCTTCGGATGGCTGAATTGGAATTTTTGAGAAGGGGAATTTTCAAACTCCCAGAACGCTGGGAGAAATGTGTACAAAGAAGTGGCGATTATGTGGAAAAATAAAGAAAGGTCTGTAGATTGAGGTGGTGTATTTGGTTTGTCAATAATAAATCATGTTGCATTACAAAAAATTGAATTGTTGCTCATGACATTTATTAATTTCCTGAGTAATATCATTATTACAATTGACAGGTTCCTAGATATGTAAATATCTGTATAGCTCCAAACATATAATTACCAGCGGTTTGTTTCAAGGTCTTTGTGTAGCAGCAGGACTATATGCCACCATATCTCATTCTCCACTAACCACCTTTTACTGTTTCAAAAATCATTAAGCTTTTCCTCTCAAACTGATTTAGGGCATTGACTGCATATTAGGAAAATTTCCAGGTTTTGCACGTATACAATTTGTGTTTTCCTGGGAACATGTTTACATTTCATAACTGCAACAAGCAGTCTGCTTTTACCGGTTCTCACGGTCTCTTTGCTTGCAGATTTCTTATATATTTTTTCTTCTACCCTGAAGATGGAGGCGATGCGTTCCTCCGAAACGTCGGTTAACACCACAGGTACACGGTGCAAAATCCCAGAAGACTGCTTTCTTCATACTTTTTCTTATTAGCCAGATAAATTCTGGTTTGGATTTCTACCAGTTCACTATACTTTTACAGCCACATTTAACTCAACATATGTTTCCTTTTACATTTCTCAGTGATCTTTCCCATATATTTGTTTTCATTAAATAGGAATTTAATTTTTCAGGCTGATATTCACAATCTGGAGGCTGAGATAAAGGAATGCAAGGCTGAACTGCAGAAAGTGACAGAGACTAGACCTGTACATAATACACATCTTGAAACTGTGTGTGACAACAGTGAAAGTGAGTCAGAGGATGATTTTGTGGAGCCAACACAAAAAAAGGAAATTACTGCAAACAGAACTTGGTTCGTAGGCAGTACACTTTATTTCCATTTAATATTATGCCCTTTGCATCATAAGGTACTTTGTCAAGAATTCAAATGCTGCTCCGTTGTCGTCATCAGCATAATTTCACTAATCTAAATATATCATCACCAATCTGGTAATTTGTCTTTGTTTTATGACCTTTTTAGTTTGCAGTGTCCAGCTGATGCCATTTATTTTGATCTTACTACATTTGATCTTGGCTGTCATACCTTGCTTCTTTACAAGCTTAATACTATTGGACTTATGGTTATGTAAACTTGTTTAATAGTAAAAGATCAACAAACAATTTCAAGTTCATGTTTTTGGAATTCTTTCATCACCTTTTGGAGTGTTTTCCAGTGTTCCACAAGGATCTGTTTAGGGCCCTCAGCTTTTCAACATGTTCATTAATGATGTAACATACAAGTAATTAACTAATCTAGGTACCTTATGTTTGCTGATACCAAATTTTGTGTACTATCTGACATTTATTTTGTATGAAGTTGTTGTACCGATAACTTCATGAAACTCAACATTAGTAAAACCAGAGATATCTTTCTCAAGGAAAACTAATTTATTGATGTATGAGTACAAATTTTTCCCCCAGTTCTCTATAACTTACCAGCTCCGTTAATGACCCAGGTGTATTTATTGTTTCTGTACTTCATTTCCATAATCTTGTTAGTATACATCTTCTCAATGTTTGGTCTAGTTCACAATGTAACTTTCTTTTTCTTTGACCTCTTATTTATGTTACATTTTACCTTAGACCTAAGCTTTAGTCCATCTACACTGACAGTGATTGACGTTAGCTCTTTTCTAAGGGACCCAACTAAGTAGGTGTCTTCCCCCCCTCACCTGAGGATGGAAACAGATTCAGTTTCTGAAATGTCGTGTTTTCTAGTTTCTAGAATACCGGATGATGGACAAAGTCCATTGATTGGCATAACAGTTGTGCAGAAATTTTCTTTAGCTTTGTTTGACAGTGAATCTAATGGGTCACTGGAACAAGGATATGCAATATTATTACTTAAACATTATATGTGGAATATTGTTTATAAATCAGCAGTTACAAACATGGCTCAGTGTGTAACTTGGAGGCTATATCCAATCAATTAAAAAAATTGGTACTTTCCTAGGGTACTGCTGCTGTTGTTGCTGCCACCACCGGCACCATGGTGGTAGCAGCAGTCTGTGATATAGTTAGTTGCAATTAAATAAAATATTTCAACTTGTGCAGCCTAAATATAACACTGGTATCATACAATTTATAGAACTGGAAGTCTGTGTATTAGGAAAGTAAGCTTTATGAAAGATCTTAGGTTCCCATGGCAGTGATTGTGAAGAACATTGTCTTCTGGGATGTAATGCTTTGTAGTCTGGTAGAAGCATACCAGTGTTTTGGAGGAATATGTTGCCTCCATCTTCAGGGTCAGCGTGGCCTGCTTGCTTGCTCAGCTTACACTTTGATCATGCAGATGGAGATTGACTGTATAGTACTGTTATACAACCATCAGCACAACAAATTCATAATAAACAAATCAATATTACTGCATTAATATTTGTTTATTACAGATTACTTTTGTTGAGGGTTGTGTAATAGTATTATGTAGTAATACACAATAGGATGCATACAATAAAGATCTACCAGACTACATGGTGTAACTTGCTAAAAATTAGTACTCTTCATAGGCTTAACAGATTTCGTCTGGAACTCCTTGTTTTGTATAGTGAATATTTAATAACATAATTTCATACTCTGTACAGTGTTATGTCTGTGGTGCAGTTAGTTGTGCAACAACGGTTATGTACCTGCAAGAAATGAACATTAAGGCAAATGAGGTGTGCAAAATGAAAACATACTTGGATAGTATGTATTGTCACGTGTTAGGTGTATAACGCGACAAATAACTTCATGCCTTATTTGATATAGCAAATTTATTGCACGTTCGCTCTTACAATCACACAATTTAAAATCTAACAATTACTGCCATCAGCAGTATCACAAATACTAGACTGCAGTTAACTGGTTACTCTTTCTCTAGTAACTGGCTCAATACTCACTGACTAGTCACTCACTACTAACTACTGAATAGTGTTCGCTGCTCCTTATTTAGCCTCGGCACGGACAACACAGAAAACAGTTACGTAATAGGTACCGCTGTTGCCTGATGCTGTTTTACAGGTTGCCTAGCAACACTGTCAAGAGTTGTTTACCGCTGTGTAGCAACTGTGGTATCCCTTGGTAACAACACAGTCCCTCTTCTGCCACGTAACCGCGGGGAGAGGGTGTTTACCGAGTGCTGAGTGGTAATGGAAGGGGTATGGGTATGTGACATCACTTGCAGACCGCAGAGTTCATGTGACCCCTACTTCCCATTGCGCCATCCACGTCACAGTATATTCCATTGAATTGCACCATTCCACTCTTGTTAAATTTTATTTAACCTTCTTATTACAGGGATAACAAACACAAAGATGATACCAAAGCAGAAAACAAAGAGGTGCATCTGCAACAAGTAGACCAAGTCAATCTTGCAACTCCATTTTCAGCAGTGCAGAACACTGGGAAGAGAAGTGTACTGCATAATCCAGATTCTAATTGCATTTTACCTACCAGAAGTCCTTCTGTTATTAATTCTATGGAAATCCAGCGTAAAGAAACTAGCCCACCTAAATACCAGACTGCTGTTAAGACTGATGTCAAATCTCATATGACATGTCCAACATCTAAGCAATTTGTTCTTCGACTTCCACAAGTAAATACACCATCAACTTCACCCATGATGAGAAGAGATAAAGATACAACACCAGGTATATTAAATAAATCGTCAGTCGCAGCAAAGAGCAGCAACATAGCAGCAGATGTCTATAAGCACATACTGCCTCAGTCATCACTCCAAGTATCAACTCTCAAACCACCTCCTAGAAAACTCTCTTTTGTGTGTAGTGGTTTGCACACAGGGTTAATTGCCAGAGTGAAGGCATTATCAAAATTGTTGGGAGCAGAATTCTCGAATAAATTTGAGTCGCATACAACACACCTTGTAGTGAAGGCCTCTGATACCATGATGGCAGATAAAACACTAAAGTACCTGCTTGCATTAGTCAAGAAGAAGTGGATTGTATCTGTTGCTTGGGTGAATGCTTGCCTTCAAGCAAGGAAGCTAGTACCAGAGGTTAGTCATCATATTGCAACATATACTGTAACTTAATTCCCTCCAGAGGTGAAGATAAAATACTTGTGCATACTTTGGTATCATAGGAAGAGGTAATTTGAAAACAGGAACAGCAAGTGATTAATTTTAACCAGTTCACTCACCACAGAGTTGATGAGTAGTCATCTGGTGAGAAATTAACTGCTTTAATGAACTTAAGTTTCATTACTGTGTTCACAAGAAGCCAGCACTGAAGTGAGTGAGCTGATACCATTGCACACTGTGTGTCAAATCTTACATAGATTTAATATTACATTACCATATAGGTCTAGGTTTTCCAAGCTCAGTTCGGGTTTTCAGAATAAAAGAAAAACAAATATTGCCTGTATAAAACATCTTTGAGGTATGTCATACTTTGACTAAGCAAAATTATAGAACAAAATCCTGTATATTTAGTGGGATCTCCTGTATGGAGACTGTGGTTTAAATTGTATGTTGGAAAAAGGATCTAGTACCTTTCTAAGGATGATTTAATGATCTTCATTATCATCTGGTGATGACAAAACCTCAGATATTTTAGACACAATGTAGGTATGTGTTTAAATACAGAAGTCTTGAAATGTTTAGTTCATTATTGTGTTCTGTGATTAAATTTTAGGTGATAGGATAATTGGTAATTTATAGGTTTATATGTTTATGGCACCTATAAATTAAATATTACTAGAAAAGGAGGTGTTATGATGTAATATACAAACACTGTAAGACCTGGAGAATATGATTTAAGCCCTCTCGATTCTGACATGTAATTTGACTTACAAGAATCTTGTGAAGTGGTTGCAGCCTCTGCAGGAGAAACTAGGCACATTCTGCTGGTCCAGTTTTCCTGGATTTGTTGTAGCAAGCACTGTAACTGCCTAGAATTATAGGCATATTTATTCATTGTTTAAATTTTGATTTATTAATTAGTCTCAAAATGTGCAAGTATGTCATAGAGCTTGGAACTCTTTTGTGGGGTTTGGAGCCAGAAATCTGAGCGTGAGGCAGTTTTTGTCACTATAATTCGGGGGGGGGGNGTTTGACATTTGTCAATGTATATGATAGATATATATTTTAGTTATTTTAATGTGAGGACAAGGCATGCAATGAACTAGTTTGGCGCGGATTGAGTAAGCACCTGAAGATGGCATTATTATGCCGAAACATGTAGTGCGAGTGAGAGAAGGAGATAGATGAGTGTATGCACTGCAAGACGGTTTAAATAAATCATGGACTTAAGTCAGTGCAACAGGACGCTAAAATATAACATTAGACTGTAGTAATTATCGAGGGATATCACTGCTATCAACTTCATACAGAATTTTATCCAATATTCTTCTCTCTCAAGGTTAAGTCCATATATAGATGAAATTATTGGGGATCATCAGTGTGGGGTTTGACATAATAGATCAACTACAGATCAGATCTTTTGCATTCGTCAGATATTGGAGAAAAAATGGGAGTACGATGAGACAGTACATCAGCTATTCATAGACTTCAAGAAAGCCTGTGATTGAGTTAGGAGGGAAGTATTGTACAATATTCTGATAAGAGTTTGGGATACCCATAAAACTAGTTAGGTTGATTAAAATGTGTTTGAATGAAACGTATAGTAAAGTCCATGTAGGTAAACATTGGTCTGATAAATTTTCTATCCAGGATGATATAAAACAAGGAGATGCTTTATCACCACTCCTTTTTAACTTTGCTGTAGAATATGCCATTAGGAAGGTCCAGGGAAACCAGGCAGGACAGAAATTAAACAGGACACATCAGCCGTTGGCCTGTGCCAATGATGTGAATCTACTGGGTGATAATGTTCGTACATACCATAAAGAAAAACACACAAACTTTAATTGACGCAAGTAAAGAGGTTGGTATAGAAGTAAACAGAGAAAACTAAGTATATGTTGCTGTCTTGTCACCAAAATGCAGGGCAAAATCGTGATATAAAGATAGGAAACATGTTTTGAAAATGTGGCACAATTCAGATATTTGGGAACAACGATAACAGATCGAAACCTTATTCAGGAGGAAATTAAGAGGAGATTGAACTTGGGTAATGCTTGCTACAGTTCAGTCCAGAACCTTTTGTCTTCTCGTCTGCTGTCCAAAAACATAAAAATTAGAATATACAAAACTAATTTTGCCTTTGGTTCTGTATGCGTTTGAAACTTGGTCTCTGACATTAAGGGAGGAACATAGACTGAGGGTGTTGAGGAGATTATTTGGACCGAAGAGAGATGATGTGACAGGAGGTTGGAGAAAACTGCATAATGAAGTGCTTCATAACTTGCACTCTTCTCCAAGTATAATTAGAATGATCAAGTCAAGGAGGATGAGGTCGGAAGGGCATGTAGCATGAATGAGGGAGACAAGGAATGCGTATAGGATATTGGTGGGAAAGCCAGAAGGAAAGAGACCACTGGTAAGACCAAGTCGTAGGTGGGTGGACAGTATTAAAATGGATCTTAGAGAGATAGGATGGGATGGTATTGATTGGATTAATCTGGCTCATGATAGGGACCAGTGGAGGGCTCTTGTGAACACGGTAGTGAACCTTGAGGTTCCATAAAATGCTGGGAAATTCTTGAGTGGCTGCAGAATTGGCCACTCAAGAAGGGCTCAGCTCCATGAGTAAGTAAGTAAGTGAGTGTATTTTCCCACAGAAATGTTTTGGTCATTATTCGTAGTTAAGCTTCACACTGTTTACAGGTTCTGTAAAAATGCCACTGGATGCATTAAGTTTGTGTCTTTTACTCATATTGCATTTGAATACATTTTCTGACCTGGAGTGATTTACTTTAAGTACTTGTTATTGTTGATGTATATCTTTATTTTTGCAGTAAAATGTCTGTTCTGATTGTAGGATGAATATGAAATGCTTGATTCCTCTGGTGAAAATGGACCACATCGATCCCGTACAACATCTGAGCTTCTGTACAGAAATTTTGAATTTTGCTGCATTGAACCTTTCACAGATCTCAGTAGAGACCAGCTAGAGGTAAGAAAGGTGCCAATTATTATAGATGTTAACATTTCTGTCATATTGAAATTTAAGAATGCTGAGTGGCTTTTTATCCCTATGAACTCTTGTGTTTTTGTGTTTTATATCAAGATAAGTTACATTTTAATTATGTTTTATACGTAGGTCGTACCGAAAGTCATGAGCAACTTTTTTTTGCATGCGACCTGGCAACAGCAGACGAAAGAGAGTACGGTGGTAGGTGGAACCAGCTGTTGTGTTAACCTTGAGTGTCTTACGTGGTGCAATCCAAAAGTTCCCGAAATATATTAATAACAACTGTTACATCTTACCTAGATGTTGTTTACAACAAAGATAAATTCAAATTAAATTCTGATGTCTATAACATGAATACTAGACAAAAATATAACTTCCACCTACCCGCATCAACTTTATCAGTATATCAAAAAGGAGTCTACTTTACTGGCATAAAAGTGTTCAACAATCTGCCACAAAGTATTAAAAACTTGGGCAATGATACTAAAAAGTTTAAATCAGAGTTAAAGAATTATCTACATGCTCATTCCTTCTACTCTTTAGATGAATACTTCAATGTAAATAGAGAANTCCAAAGGTACTAACCTACTTAGGATTTATAGAATGTAAATAAATTCAGTTCAATTCAAAGATCTTATTCTGCACCATCACCTTCAAAGTAGTCCCTTTTGGAGCGCATACACCAATCCCAGCGTTTCTGCCACTTTTCAAATGCACCCTGGAAGTCTTTCTTTGTTAGGGTGTTTAGTACCGTCTGCATTTCCACTTGAATTTCCTCAACTGTATCAAATCTTAGCCCCTTCAACTTGATTTTCATCTTGGGGAAGAGAAAGAGGTCGCATGGAGCTAAGTCTGGAAAGAACGGTGTGTGGGGAACAACTGCCATCTTGTTTTTAGCCAAACTTTCCTGCACAATGTAAGCCATATGCGGTCATGCGTTGTCATGGTGGAGTACCCAGTCGTTCGTGCGCCACTTCTCTGGACGTTTTCTCCTCATGTTCTCCCACAAACGCCTTAGAACATCGCGATAGAACTCTTTATTGACTGTCTGACCAGGAGGGATGAACGCCTTATGAACAATCCTGTCAATATTAAAAAAAAAACAGATCAACATGGACTTAATGTTGCTCTTGACTTGTCGAGCTTTTTTTAGCTGAGGTGAAGAAGGGCTCTTCCATTGTGACGATGGCTGCTTGCTTTCAGGGTTGTAGCCATAAACCCAGCTTTCATCACCAGTGACAACCTTTGAAAGAAAGTTTGGATCCTCTTGAATCAGAATCAGATCCCTAACTTTTGCGACATTTTCTGTTGTGGTGCGAGTTGACGGCCGTCCAGAACGATCGTCATCATCAGTCAGTGTTCGGCCATTTTTAAAATGCTTATACCATTTGTAAGTTTGTGTCTGGCCAAAACTGTTTTCACCAAAAGCTTGCTTCAACATTTGGTGCGTTTCTGCAGCGGTTTTTCCAAGTTTGAAACAAACTTTATACAGACATGCTGCTCTCTCAGGTCAGCCATCGCAAAACCGCAAAGTCACGGAAACACAACAATGGAAATACGTTCACCAACAATAAACCCAACCACTCAACTCGACGCCGCTTGCCACACTGATTCAAGAAGGGTGTGTGAGGAGACACATAGCGGTATTTTGATGTACTCATAACCATTCGCGCGCAAAATTCAAATTTCGCAACCTTTTGGATTGCCCCACGTATGATGTCAATAGCTTGCATCACATGACCAGTATCACTCCTAACAAAATGGCCGACAACAATATGTCATTTCGCCAGCGTGCTGTCATCGAATTTCTTGTGAAAGAGGAAATCCCTGCTGCAGATAGTCACGACAGACTTCAGCGTGCTTATGGAAGTGTGTGCATGGGTGCAAGCAGTGTTTGAAGATGGGTGAAACATTTTAAAGATGGGAACACCAGCATCGAAGATGAGCCTCGAAGCAGTTGTCCTCGAACAGCCTCAACTGAACGCAACAAGGAAAGAGTGGTTGAGATCATTGAAGATGACAGTCATGTGACTTGGAATAGGGCACAGTGCAGTACAGGAGATGATTGAAATCTTGGGCTATAGGAAAGTTTGTGCTCGTTGGGTCCCGCAATTATTGACTGAAGACCACAAAGGTCAGTGAAAAGCCATCACCTCAGAACTGCTGCAGAGATATCGACACAAAGTCGATTTTTTGCTCTGTATTGTGACAGGTGACAAAAGCTGGTTTCACCATTCTGAGCCTGAAACAAAATGGCAGAGTATGGAATGGCACCATTTGCATTCTCTATCAAAAAAGAAGGCAAAGACAGTGCCATCAGCTGTGAAGGTGATGGGCACAGTCTTCTGGGATGCAGAGGGGTTTATTCTGGTCAAATTCCTGGAACCTGGGCAAACTATAAATGTTGCTCGTTATGTCCAGACGCTGCACAAGCTCCGTTGTGCATTGCGCGATAAACGTCCGGGACGAAACATCATCATCCTGCATGACAACACTCGCCCCCATGCCGCTCACCTCACATTGGAAGCAATTGCAAAGATGGGGTGGGAAGTTCTTCCACACCCCTCCTATAGCCCTGATCTGGCACCCTCCGACTACCATCTTTTCGGATTTGTGAAGGATCAGCTGCGTGGACATTTTGAGACAAGGGAGGCAATTCAGAAAGCAGTGCGTCAGTGTCTTCGGATGGCTGGAACAGAATTTTCAAACTCCCAGAATGCTGGGAGAAATGTGTATAAAGAAGTGGTGATTATGTGGAAAAATAAAGAAAGGTCTGTAGATTGAGTTGGTGTATTTGGTTTGTCAATAATAAATCATGTTACTTTACAAAACATTGTTGCTCATGACTTTCATTATGCCCCCCATATTTTAACAAGAGTTCAATGCCAACACATGTGAAAAATTAATACTCCATTTCCAATATGTGCAGTTAATTTTTGCAGCAAAAACACATTCGTATTTCCAACCTTATCTTTGTTGCATACTGTACTTGACAATACAGCCATTTTTATGTTTTATCTCATGCTTTATTTATTACCTTCCAGATGCTGTTTTATATAGTCCATTATAATCAATAAATGCATATACAGATTGAGTCTTAATTACAGACCTTAAATACCAATTGTCCAGATGAAAGATATCCAGAATAAAAAAATTGTATCTTAGAAACTGTCATACATGTATCTGGTTTATGTCATTGGAAAGGAAAACTCTGAAAACTTTTTTCATGCCTGATTATGCACATGCATTGCCACATTTCTGCCACCATGTTAGGAATCACCTCGACAGAGAGATGTCTGGGAGATGAATTGGCAGATGTGGACCAATTGCTTTGCCTTCTAGGTAACCAGTTTTAACTCCATTTGATTTTTTCTTGTGGGATTATGTAAAAAATATTGTCTACCAGGTTAAGATTAGTGACCTTCAACACCTGAAAGCCTGTATAAGGGATGCTGTGGCTATAGTAACATCAAACATGCTTCAAACAACATGAATCAAAGTCAAATATTGTCTGGATATTTGTCATTCCACCAACGCAGCCCACGTTGAAATTTACTGAGAAAATTATATACTCACATAAAAACTTTGATAGTTTCTCTTTTTAATGGTTCTTATGTACGTTCTTATGTACTCGGGCACAATTCACTGATGCCGATGGAGGTGCGGGCGCCATCACACTACTACTACTACTACTACTACTACTACTACTACTACTACTACTACTACTACTACTACTACGACTACTACTACTAC